AGTTCCTAGGGTGTCTGCCCAAAATATATCATTGACAAACATCGGAGGAACTGATAATATCCTAGACTTGTTCAAAAAGACTTTTTTTGCTGCTTCCTTGGCCAATGCATCAGCTACCATGTTCTGCTCCCGATAGATGTGCTTCACTACCACCCTGTCCATCCTACATATTAATTACATGCATTCACAAATTAAGGGGGTCATAAATTAGGCTCCCTTTCGTTAGCATATTGATAATTTCAGAAGAGTCAGTATTGATTTCAAGAGGAACCATGTTATTTTGTTCCAAGAGTTGTAGTCCCTTTAGGAGTGCCTTCAATTCTGCCATAGTATTTGTTGTGTGGGGGATGTTATCCATGTACCCCATTATCCAGTCTCCATTGTGATTTCTACATTGCCTCCTGATCCTCCTATACTTGGATTCTCTTTTGCCGCTCCTTCATTTTTAGCTTATAGAAGCCTCTTCTTGGGGGCTCTCATTTTGTTACAATTTGATGAGTTATTTTGTTAGAGCCATTTTTTGTTAGCACAAAGTATTCAGTGGCTTTGGAGATTATGTTTGAAGAGTTGATGTGATCCTTTTTGTTCTTGAATAAATTGTTGTTTCTTGTTAGCCAGATGTGCCAGAAGCAGAAGGGAATGATGTTGTCCCATAGGATAATGCTATTGAAAGGTAAATTCCTGATTGAGCTCCATGTTGATGGCCATTGAAGGCTGGAGTTTGCTGTCTACTGTCACTAGTAGATTTGGACAGTATTTCATTCCAGAAGTGGACAACATTAGGGCACTCAAAGATTATGGTCAATAGTTTCCTGGCCACTGTTGCAGTAAGAACATTGGGGATCACAGTTGATCCCTATTCTATGAAGGTGGCTCTTAGTGGGAAATTTCTTATGGGTGAGGAGCCGGATGAAATTCTTAATTTTGTTGGGAGCTTGTAGTTCCCAGACCCATTTGAAAGAACCTTCCTCATTAGTATGAAGACTGGTGTCACTCTTGCTTAGGAAGAAGTATGCAGAACTATTTGTGAAGTGACCATTCGGGGTTAAGTTCCATATGAGGGTGTCTTCCTTTGTTGGAGTTGGGGGAATGAACACTGAGTTTAACAGATTCAGGATACTTGGGGGGAGAGCAATAGACAGTGATGATGTGCCCTAAGTCCCTAGGTTGTGGATTGAGCTAACCTTAGCATTGAGATCGTTTTGGGTTAAAGGACCCTCAATCAAATCTCTAATTGCTGGCTGATTTGGAATCCATACATCATTTAGGAAGTTGACCCTGTTTCCCTTGTGAACTACCCATCTGCTTGCTTTGCAACAAGTATCCCAGCCCCTTAAGATGCACTGCCAGGTGGCTGATTTTGGATGTCTAGGATATCTAGAGGCTAATTATCCTAGCATTGTTGGTCATGTTGCAGTGCTTGTGGATTAGTACTATTGCCCATAGACTGTTGGTATTTTTGTAAGTCCTCCAGGCAAGATTTGTGAGAGAAGCTTTGTTCTTAAGATTAGCCTTTTGGAGTCCTAGTCCTCCATCAGCCTTTCTTTTTGTGACCACCTCCCACCTGATTAGGTGGAGCTTCTTCTTTTCAAGAGTGGTGCCCCAAAGAAAGTTTCTTTGGATTTTGTCAATCTGCTTGGTAACTTTAGTGGGCAGGTTGATGTACTGCATGACATGACTAGGAATGTTGTTTAAAGAAGTTTTAGCCAGCACAATTCTGCCAGCCATGTTTAGGCAGCTTTTTTTCCACCCAACCAGCTTGGATTGCATGTTATCAATGATGAATTGAAAGTCTGCACTGGTTTGCCTTTTATGAAAAATGGGGAAACCAAGGTATTTTCCAAAGGAGGAGGTGGGTTGGATGGACAGAGAGTTGGAGAGATTCTGTATGGATTCCTGTGGAGTATTTGAGGAAAATAGGACATTTGACTTAGCAAGATTTATTTTCTTACCTGACTGTTCATTGAAATTCTGCATAATGGAAGGTATAGTGTTGCAGTTCCTGTCATTTGCTTTAGCAAAGAGGGTTAGGTCATCTGCGAAGAAAATATGGGATACTTTGGGACCAGATCTGCTTATATTTATGGGTTGTCACTGGTTAACCAGAACCGCCTTGTCAATTGATCTTGATAATCTTTCCATACACATTATGAAGAGGTAGGGAGACATTGGGTCTCCTTGCCTGATGCATCTTGAAGGTTTGAAGGATTCAATTTTACCACCATTGACAAAGACGGAGATGGAGGAGGAACTGATGCATGACATAATGAGTTTGGATAAACCTTGAGGGAAGTTGAAAGCAGAAAAAGTGTCTCTAATAAAGGACCATTCCAGCCTGTCAAAGGCCTTTTCCAGACCAATTTTGAGGATCATATTACCATGTTTCCCTTTCATTCTTCTAAAGTGTGTGATGTATTCTTGGACAATGATGGCATTATCACAAGCTCTCCTATTGGATAGGAAACTGGCTTGACTTGGCCCAATGATGTGAGGCAAGATAGGCTTTATTCTGTTCACTATAATTTTTGTGATGGACTTGTATATTGTGTTACACAGTCCAATTGGCCTAAAACTTTTTAACATTGAAGCTTGGGAGCATTTTGGGATGAGGCACAACAGAGTCTGGTTCATGGTTTCATACATAGAACTTGAGGAAAAACATTTTTTACAGAAGTCTATGACAGAATCACCAACTATGTCCCAGTATTTTTGGTAGAAGAAGGGGTGGAGACCACCAGGGTCAGGAGATTTGAAAGGTTTGTGGGAGAAGACTGCCCTTTTTGTCTCACTCAACTCTAGAGGTCTGTCTAAGAAAGTTTTTTGGGCATCAGATAGAATGGGAGACATGGTGGAGTGGTTGGTGAAGGCCCTAGGGGTTTGGGAGTGGGATGTGGTATATAGATCTGTGAAGAAGCCCATAATGGCTGCTTGGATATTCTTCTGGTCGTGGAGCCAGTTTCTATTCTCTTCTTTAAGAGAGAGGATTCTGTTCCTTCTTCTTCTATTGAGGGTGGAGGTGTGAAAGAATCTAGTGCTAGCATCGCCCTCGTTAAGCCAATTAATCCTATATTTGATCTTCCAGAAATCCTCTTCATTTTTTAGGATTAAGTTAAGCTCTCGAACCAGATTAGTTTCAAGGTTTAGCAAATAACTACTGAACTGGTAGTTAGGAGATCTCCGGATTCAAGAAATTCTTGCTAGGATTCTTCTCTTTTGGTGGAAGATGTTTCCAAATGTTTCCCAGTTACATTTGGTGACCATTGTTTTGAAGGAATCAGTGGATTGGAGGAGACTAGAATGATCTGAGAAAGCCCTATTGATGATGTTGGGAAAGGATAGGTGGCTAGCCTACATTGACTCAAACCTGAAAGGCCTTGTCAGATTATTGTTTGGAGACTCTACCAGATTAATTTGAAGGGGGCAGTAGTCTGAGTGGGTCCTAGGAAGGTGCAGTACAGTAGCCTCAGGGTACTGTTGTATCCAGCCTTCATTAGCAAAGCATCTATCTATTCTTTCCAGAATAAGCAAGGTTCTATTACTGTACCTTTTATTAGACCAGGTGTATTTACTCTCTTTGTAGCCTAGATCTAGAAGTTTACACTCATTTATACATTGACAGAATAGATTGTTGCGGCTAAGGGTTATGGGGTTGCCCCCAAATTTATCCCTGGCCTTTAAGACTTCATTGAAGTCTCCTCCCACAAACCAGTTGGTTGTGAGATTTTTGGAGATTGTAATTAGGTTCTCCCATAGGAGCTTCCTATTCGCTAAAATATTGCTAGCGTAGATAGAAGAGAAGATCCATGGAGGGTGGTTAAGACTCACCTTTACCATTGCATGGATGCCTTGAGGGGTGGTGGCCACCTCTTCAACAGTCACACAATCTTCTTTCCACATACACTATTCCCCAGAGAGACCAACTGCCGGTGACTGTATGATCATATCAAATTGGAGCTCTTGTGCCAACTTCTGGTGGTCTGCCATCTTAGTTTCAAGCAGAACGAGCATGGCAGGCTTGTGCATCTTCACCATTTCTAAACAATGCCTCTTGAAATTGGCATTGTTCCCACCCCTAACATTCCATATGATGTAATTCATCAGAGGCGTTGGGGGTGGTTGGTGAGGGCCCTCTTGAGGGTTCTTTGGTCCTTGCGGACACTTTGTTGGAGATGGGGGGGATTTCCTCTTGAGGCTCAGTACTGGGGTCAGATTCAACAGGGGCTTGATGGGATCGTGTGTTTGGAGGGAGACCAGACTCATTCCACACTTGACCATCGATCTGGGACATAGAACCACTATCACCTCGCTGGTTTCTGTACTGAACTCTATCGCTCTCACTGAGTCCAATAGAAGCGAGTCTGTTCGTGGTGAGGCATAGATTGCTCCATCTTCCTCTAGCGAGCTTTTCTTTTTGAGGATATCTAGGGCCTTGGAGATTCCCTTTTTGATGTTGTGGAGAGGCGGTGAGGTGCTCTTCTCTCTTGGTACAGAAGATGATGGTATTTCTTGAGTTTGGCGGCCGATCATTACAAATACCGGCTCCGCCGTTAGATCCTCCATCGTCAGATTTGGGAAGAATGGTAGGGTTTGGAATGTCTGAAGCATCTGACTGCTGAGGGTTTGAGGGTCAGTTATCGGTGAGTTGCTGTCCTTGTTGACCATCGACTGCCATAGAAGAGGACCAAAGGCCGCTAGGGCTTTGTTCAACGCTTCCACGGTGACTCTCGCTAAGTGGGCTGGGTTTTGTACAATCAAAGTCACATTCTGATTGCCTAGGGTAAAATTGTAGGAGAGGCCCTGGCCCTGAAGAGCTACCTCCAACCAAGAAGCCGGTTGGTGGTCCGGTGGTGGAGGGAGGGAGGAGATGATAATTGATGTCTGATCTTTTTCCATTTTTGTGTTTCTTGGCATTAGTGCTTTGGGTAATGGGAGGGGTTATCTTAAGGGACTGGTGTTCCATCAGTACTCCCTTCAGCGTCAAATCTCGGTCAGTGGAGGGGTTACTGGTAATCGGAACTAGGGGTGGATTGGTCATTAATTGTGGATCTATTGGAATTAACAGTTTGGGTTTTTTCATCTGGAATTGGAAGGGGTACCAGATAGGGCACTTGATTGATGGTGGTGACTGTTGAGATTTCTCCATTGGAGATTGTTTCAGAGGAATTGGTAGAGGAAGCGTAGGTGAGTGTATTTGGGGGGTTAGATGGGCTGACAATTTCCATTTCGGAGTGGTACCCATTTGGAGAAGAGAGACTGGCCCCATTGGTTTTCTCATCATCTTTGAGATGAGAGACCTCGGTAGTTGGGCTCAAAGTGGCACCTTGAACGAGGACTTCATGATTGGGGTCAGTGGAGTCATCGGGCCCCGATCCCGCCTTTCGTTTGGCGCTTGTACTGGGCTGGGTCCCTTTACTGGGTTGTGATCGCTGTTGGGTCAACCGTTGTGGCTGGCTGGGGCTTGCATTGTTTATTGGGCCGTTGAGCCTATTTTTCGAATTTGGGGTGGGGTTGACTTTTTTTGAATTGTAACGCACTGATTGAGTTTGAAGGAATTTACCTGAGTTAGCATCGAACAAATTTACCTGTATATGATCCGCCTGTGGAGCCTGGTGTGGATTATTCAATCCTGTATCATTCTTATTATTTGATTTTGCTAGCCCTTGCTTCCTTCTTCTTGGAAAGGTGACAGTTTTCCACTCACTCTCTTCCGACTGTGCTACATTTCTCCGTTGTGTTTCCTGTGTTTCTTGAGTTGCTTTGGGTGTGGAGGGCCGGTAATTGCAACCTACTGAAGTATGCCCAATTCTGCCGCAATATGTGCACATGGTCCCTTCTCTTTCGTAAATCACTGCCTGTTTATGGTCTTCTATTATGACCGATGTTTCCACTGGGGTTTCCAGGGGCACTTGAATACAAATACGAGCATAATGTCCCCTGAGAGTAGAGGAAGTGCACTGATCGATTTTTAATAGTTTGCCCAGCTTCCTTCCAACCTTTTCTAGGATACCCTTATCGTAGAATTCTGTTGGTAATTGTGGAAGACGGATCCATATGGCAGTAGATGTAAGGGTAGCCTCTTGGGAATGAATTTGGGTTCCCATTTCCGCACAAACAAGAAATTTCCTGAGATGAACCAAGGTCCAAGGTGGAGTGCCTTAACTATATTCTCTTCTAAACTAAATTTGACTATGTAGAAGTCTCATCCTAGGTCAATCAAGATTAACTGTTCGGATGGCTTTCATAGTTCAATTAGTTTAGACCGAAGAAAATGGTGTGGCGTCTTTCGCTTAAAGACCTTGATGATTACAGAGTAGCGCCATGGAAGATAGAGGCGCTTCTTATCATCATGGGAAAGGGGGATTGAGCCCTCTATGTTTTTCCCTTTACCGATCTCCGTATTTGAATGGGAATCATCTTCGTAATAATCGGTTTGATGGCTCTCCGGTTTATCTAAGAGCATTTCCTTATAGGAATGTGTTGGTTGGATTAATTCTATATCCATTTGGTTGTGCTTATCTGGAGGTTCCGGTGGGATATGTGATTTGATTAAGGAGGGATCCATGTTTGGAGAGGATGACTTGCTGTAGAGAAGTAAAAAGTTTGGAGATCTACCGGTAAACATAGCATGTTTGGTCAAAAGTATTTTTTTTATAAAGTTAAAGTGTTTTGGCAAATCTTTAAAAAATATTTTTGAGTAGAAATATAACCAATTTTAAAAAGCAAAAAAATTAGTTTGTTTCTAAAAACACTTTTAAGAAAATTATGCTTAGAAACACTTTTAAAAAGTTTGGTCAAACGATAATCGCTGCTTAAATATACTTTTTAAATTAATTAGTCAAATACAAATAATTTTTTACCAAAAGACTTTTTTTGAAATTACCTTTTAAGAAAGTACTTTTCAAATAAGCTGATTTTAAAAGCTTGGCCAAACAAACTATATTAAGTTTGCTTTAAATCTTCATATTAAGAAAAAAAAATTGCCGTCCAAAATTTGGGTACATCTATATAATATTAATATTGAGAAGAAAAAACATTAATTAATTCCAAATAAAAAGAGAACAAAGAAAAGACCGCACAGTAAGCCAGAGCCGCACCCAACATATACAGGTGGAAGCATATGAGATCTGGAATTTCTTTTTTAAATTGCTTTTTTCTTTTTCTCCTTTTAAAATGCTATCTTCATCTAGTTGTTAGAGTTTGTCTCCGAAATTCTCTCTGATGTTAGCCGGCAGTGGTATTCCTGCTAATAATCTCAAAACAAGTGGCATTTTACTCAAAGTGTCAACACAACGTTGATAAGTTTCTGAAAGGTAAACTAACTTTTACTTTTTTGAGACTACTACGCCGACGCCTTTCACTTTGCCCTACACGAAGTTTTTGTGAAATTATAATTAGAACATTCATGAATTTAAAATATTATTATAAGTTTAAAAACATCTCATTAAATATTTTTTTTAACATAAAATTTCACAACTAAATCAAAAGATTCATTCATTAAGTTTTTTTCCTGTTTTGTATGGATACATCCCAGTTAAAGATTTTTTCCTGCTTTGCTCTAATAGGCAAAAAAATCTGGTTTTTTTCTGACTTAGTGGGTGAACTTTTTTGTTTAATTTTGTAAATTTAAGTATTTTATGTATTATGTTAAATGAGATATTAAAAGAATAATAACAAATTCAGGTTTAAATTTGATGGGTGTTTTCTCCGTTACTCATTGGTAAAGAGTCCATACCACACACCAATACTTCCAAAATCTTCCCTTCTCTCTCCATTATGATTTTGCTGCTGCTTTCTTATCTCTACTCTACACTCACCATTTACTCTTCTTCTTCTTCTTCTTTTGCCCCTATGCAGCAATAGATTTTGATCTATAATTTCATTTCTTGCAAAAATCCAATGGCAGAAACAGCAAAATATGCACCAATTAATGGTGGAACTCTGGTTACAGACTTAAAAACTCACTTGTCAATTGTCAAAACCAAAAGAAGTATTGCATGTGCATATGGTTTTGTGTTTGTTTTCATTGTTGTCACCACTTTCTTGGCTTTTACTCCTAATCCTAATAACTCTTCTTCTCCATGGTTTACTAATATTTTTTCATTAAGCAGTAGCAGAGAAGAAGATGGGACTTATAGATCTCACTTCTCTTCAATTTTCTCTAACCTTTTCCCTAAATCTTCACAGCAAGTTCAGAATCTTGTTGCAAATAATGTTCCAACTATTTCAAACACCAAATTTGAGCAACCCCATTTGAATAAAGAGCCATCAATTGGTCAAAAACATACTCAGAATAACGAGTCTCATGATAAAGTTGGAATCTTGGAAAAGCCCTTTAATCAAAGTGCAATTTTGGACTCAAAGCCTTATGTAAATAGTACTATACCAACAAATTCCTCTGTGTTGAGTAATAAAGAATTATCATCTTTGAAGAATCAGACTCAAAGTAAAGATTTTGATGATAAAGTTGGAATCTTGAAGGCAAATCAGAGCACAATTCAGGCTGCCAACTCTCCTTTGAATGTGACTCAAATTAAGGATTTTGATGATAAAGTTGGAATTTTGAAGGCAAATCAGAGCACAATTGAGGCTACAAAGTCTCCAGTTAATGTGAATCAGACTGAAAATTCAGCACCAAAGTCCTCTTCTGGGGACAAAAGTGCAAATGGGAATGGAGAAAAGGGAATTATAGAGAAGGAAGTGAAGAAAAATTTCACTTCTTCTTTGGCGAAGAAGCAGAGAAATGGGACAAATTTGGATGTGTCAATGAAGAAAGGAGATGAAGATTTGGTTAAGTCTTTGTTGAATTGTGATTTCTTTGATGGGAATTGGGTTACAGATGAGTCTTATCCTTTGTACAAACCTGGTTCTTGTTCTCTTATTGATGAGCAATTCAATTGTGTTGTCAATGGTAGGCCTGATATTGGTTACTTAAAGATGAAATGGAAGCCCCAGGCCTGCAGTCTTCCCAGGTAAATTGTGCAATCTATGTGCTCTTAAACTTTTTTTTTTTTTTTTTTTTTTAACATTTTCTAATTAGGAATTTATTTTGATGATTGAACTGCAAATATGAGGCTTTTAAGATTCTGTGCTTCTTAGATTTTGGATGTACTCAAGAAGTTTTATTGCTAATGGAGTGTGACAAGTTCTACTATATATTTTGTGATATATGTAAAATTTGATTTAGTCAGTAAGACAGTAACTAAACTATGACCCCCTTTCATTTTGATAAAGTTAATCTCATTCATCAATTATGTAATGTATATGCAGATCATTACAGGTATATGTGCTATGTTTTCTTGATATAGGGAATTTAGTATACAACAACAACAACATACCCAGTAAAATCCCACTAGTGAGGTCTTGGGAGACTATAGTGTACGCAGACCTTACCCCTGCCCCTAAAGGGTTGAGAGGCTGTTTCCGGGAGACTCTCGGCTCAACGATATAGGGAATTTAGTATCTTTGGTATAAATAAGCTGCTGCAACATTCAATGATTAATTGTTCTTATGGTGGAATTTTGGAATTATTGACAGATTGAATGCCACTCATATGCTGGAATTATTAAGAGGAAAGCGGCTGGCGTTCGTTGGTGATTCTCTCAATAGGAATATGTGGGAATCCCTTATTTGCATTCTTAGAAACTCTGTCAAAGATCAGAAAAAGGTTTATGAAGAATTTGGAAGACACCATTTCAGGACAGAAGCTTCGTATTCATTTATATTTGAAGTAAGTTGTCTGATGTAGCCAGATTCATTTGTAGCATTAGACTTCATCATCCTATGTTTATAATCTTATAAAATCTTTCATTGTTGATATGTAAAATTTTCAGGAGTATAAATGCAGAGTGGAGTTCTTTGTGTCTCCTTTCTTGGTTCAACAATGGGAAGTTGCAGATAAAAAAGGAGGGAAGAAGGAAACGCTTCGACTTGATTTGATTGGAGAGTCGGCTGATAAGTATAAAAATGCAGATATCATAGTATTTAACACCGGTCACTGGTGGACTCATGAGAAAACTTCCTTAGGGTAAAATCTGTTGTGTTCTTCGACATACATAATCAAGTTGTTTACTCTTAAATAACGGTAGATTAAACGATGTTGAAATCGTTGAATATTTCAGGAAAGACTATTATCAAGAAGGAAGTCATGTGCACAGCCAACTAAATGTTCTTGAGGCCTTTCGAAAAGCGTTAACAACATGGGGGAGATGGGTCGATGCTCATATAAATCCCAAGAAGACAGTTGTTCTCTTCAGAGGTTATTCTGCTTCTCATTTCAGGTAATATTAACAAAATTTGAAACCAATTCACATTTATTTGTCGATAGCTGCTGTTCTTTATTATTATTATTATGACTACTTTGCGACTACTTAATTAATATTCATCGATAACAACAATGTCATAACCTGGTTGTTGATTTTCCTATTAGCATGTATCATTGTTTTCATCACCATTTACCTTAATATATACAACTCTTTCACAGTGGCGGGCAATGGAATTCTGGCGGGGCATGCGACAGTGAAACTGAGCCAATAAAGAACGACACATATTTGACCCCGTATCCATCCAAGATGACAGTATTAGAAAATGTCTTCAAAGGAATGAAAACTCAAGTTTCTTATCTCAATATCACAAGAATGTCGGACTATAGAAAAGACGGTCACCCATCGATATATAGGAAACCGAATTTGACAGACAAGGAAAGGAAATCGCAATGGAGATATCAAGATTGCAGCCATTGGTGCCTCCCTGGTGTACCTGATGCTTGGAATGAGCTGTTATATGCTGAACTTTTGGTAAGACAACACCAAAAACAACAAGAGAAAAAGTCATAGGTAAACAAACACATATATGATGCCCATGTTCATTTGAAATAATGAGTCAAGCTTATAGAACATGTCCAGGCTTTTTTTTTTCGTCTTTTCACATGTCTATATAGGGGAAATAGACAAAGAAATTACCTGAACAAAATCCAAGAAATAGTAAATTATAAGTTTATGAGAGGGAGAGTGAAGTTTCTTTTGAAACGAGATTTGTCCTTAGTCCTTACTAGTATTAGTGGAAAGTAAGGAGGAAATTTTGCTGTTAAATTATGTAATTTTCTTTTGCTATAATGTATTTTCAAGTCTTGAAGGCTCAAAAAGTTTAAATTCTGAGTAATTTTATTTATTCGTTTTTGAATAATTTAAGGAATCGTACTTATCAATTCTTTTAGACCATCTTACGTGTTAATGGTTGTCGAGTCATGAGTTTCTTAACTTTAAGTATTATTGTACAGTCAGTCCTTCCTATAACAGTCTCGTTTGTTCCGGATATTTTTGGATGTTATAGCGAATTGCTGTTATAGAAAACATATATTATAATAGAATATGAAATTTGGTTCCGGAAAAATATAGCTTTTATAGTGAAGTATCCTTATATAAGGATGCTGCTATAGAGAGGTCTGACCGCATAGCATATTCTTAATTAATCTTGTTTTAATCTTGTTCCATTAAAGGGGTTTTGAATAATTGATGTTGACTGTGACATCTGTGCTTGACTGTGACGCTAATGTTTTTATACTTTTCATGAGAGCTTGCGTGTCGTCTTTAATACCTCGGAAAGTAATTATGTATTAGAGTACTTTGTTAGTACTACTTTAGTACCTTATGTGTTCTTCACATGGGATGTTTTGACTATGAGTTTTCAATACTTGTTTCAATGTCGAAAAATGTGGGTGTTCAGCATGTTGTTGAACTATCTCAGCTAAGGGATTGCTTGGTTTACCTGCTAATTATTACGATCCTAATGCAGGAATTATTTATACATTGATTAGTAATGAAGCGATTGTTATGTTGTGTATTATTAATTTTTTTTTACTTATTTTAAAAGGCATTTTGTCTTTAAACAGTTTAATTTGTGTATCGTTAACACACGTACTGCATTCCATATTCCATCTTGCATAAAGTAATATATAGATTTTTGCTAGCGATTATTTCTTTCTTATACAATCAACCTAACACTTGTGCTGTATGGGTCGAAATCTGACCAAACGAGAATTGGCACAAAAAGAATGGCGAGGAGTCGATTTCGCCGTGGTTGTATCCATAAGGCACCATAACGACGAGCATCTTGGCCACGACCGAGGTCGAACCATCAGAAAGCCTGTATGGCGAAGTACACGCCATGGCACTTGGGGAGGTGGACCTAAAGTGCAATTGGCAGATTAGGGTATCCTGGCCAAGGATCGTTGGGTAAAGGAGAATACCTATTATATATATACTAGGTAAGAGAATAAGAAAGCGGGACTTTTTTTCTTCCTCTCTTAACACTAAAAAACAGGAGAATCTCCCTCAAGAAAATCAAGAGAAGATTTAGAACTTGGCTGCTGATCTTCGTAATCAATAAAGATAGATCTCGTAGCCATTAATGGTGCATCTTCTTTTTCTTCTTTATTTTACATTACGGTGTAGTAGCATCAAGAATGTAAGCCCGCCACATATATTTGATATCTTTTATAATCTTAAGTAGCTCATGAGCTTAACCATATCCTATTTTTCCTACTTAATATTCTTGGATCTAGAGTTAATTATTCTTGGCTAGGATTTATCCCCTATTTTCTTACTAATCCGTTTTAAGAAAAGGTTTAACACTTTTTTGGTAAAACAATTTGGTGCCGTCTGTGGGGATTTTCTAGCCAAAGCCTTAGTTCCCTCTAGATCCAAACATGGTCTTAGCTCTATCTCCCATTCGGTGAAGTTTCACCCTGTCATTATGAATGCCGACTTGCGAAACCGGTCGGTAAACCCCCGAAACCGTCAAACCAACCAAGGGTAAATCCTTACGCAAAACCGGAGTTATGCCTGGTTTACACACGAAAACTGCGCTGCGCCACAGCAGCAGCCCTGAGGCATTGTGAACATGAGCCATCATAGGCGGACTGCAACTACGCGTACCAAACGCGTCCGTAATCCCATTTCCAGGTTAGTACCCAATGCCTCCTACATCCTGCGCATATCGCCTCCCCTCCTACTATATGAGACGATGCTTATTGTGTAATTTACTGACTAAGATACTCCTCGTTTGTATGTTTGTGGTATGACTTACATTTTTGCGATCTTTGCATGCCCGGGACTGACGAACTGGGACTCGAACTCGAGACCCTAATGGGCGAAGTGGATCGTCCACCCACGAAATGCCAAAGCTCAACCAGTGAAGAGACTGAGCGTAAAGCCGAAGCCAACATCAGGCCGGAAACTAGTATCAGAATACAGAACAAGGCGAGTCGCCCTCCGGCTCGATCCCTAGTTCATTGCCGAAAGAGGGAACTCCCCAGGTCCAAAGAGCGCAGCGAACAAGGGAAACGTGGCCAATCCCCCTCATTCATCATCTAAACAACCGACCAAGGTAACAAATTATTCCATGTACTTCTAACCCGCTATTCATTTTTTTTTAAAAAGAGAGAGAAGTGGAACAGAGAACAGGGACGTCCTCCCAAATTCGCGAACAAAGGCTAGCCGACATACAGGCTCTAAATTCCTCCTTACGACGAACTGAAAATCGGGAAAACCCTCCACACCGTACCATATTACAAATAACAGACAAACGGCTCAGAACATGCCGGCATCATTAAGATACAATCTCCATAGCCTGGGACTGGGCGATGAGCCCATGGAACATACAATCTCTCCAATACAGGCAGAACATGAACATGGAAAACTTGCCCGTATGCTCGCCATGGCGACGCTACGCCAATTCGACCGACTAAATACTACGAGTTACGCCCAAACTTCGTTCAAATCAATCGAGCCCCAATGTGCTCAGAGGCCCAAGCAATAAGTTCATCGCCCGTCCCGTCAACGATCTCTCCAGGCCGAACAAAGGGACTAGATAGACTGGGGCTCACCCCAACACATACATAAACTATACAACAACGCATGATATTCTCCAATGAAAGCAAGATTAGATAGACTGGGACTCCACCAACGCATACATAAACTATACAACAACATATTCTCCAATGAAAGCAAGATTAGATAAACTGGGACTCACCCCGACGCATGCATAAACGATGCAGCAACGAGTAATATCCTCCAATAAAAGCAAGGCCGCATACAACATTCTTACCACTCCACCGAGCCCGCACATCGCCAAGCGAAAGTAAAATTAGACCTTGTTCGAATTAATAAGTCAACGTTCGACCTCGCTCGAACTCATCACGGTTCACAATTCGACCTCGTTCGAATTCACACCCATGCGGCCCCCGGTCATCGCCTAGTGAAAGTAAAATTCGACCTTGTTCGAATTAATAAGTCAATGTTCAACCTCGCTCGAACTCATCACGGGTCACAATTCGACCTTGTCCGATTTCACACCAATGCGGCTCCCAGCCATCGCCAAGCGAAGGCAAAATTCAACCTCGCTCGAATCTACAAGGCAAAAATTGACCTCGCTCGAATTTATAAGTCAAAACTGACTTCGCCCAAGTTGGCAAGTCAGAATTCGACCTCGCTCGAATTTACAAGTCAAAACTGACTCCGCTCTAGTTGGCAAGTCAGAATTCGACATCGCTCGAATTTACAAGTCAAAACTGACTCCGCCCAAGTTGGCAAGTCAGAATTCGACCTTGCTCGAATTTACAAGTCAAAACTGACTCCGCTCAAGTTGGCGAGTTCGACTTTGCTCGAGTCTACAAGCCAAAGCTGACCCCGCCCAAGTTGGCGAGACAAAATTCTACCTCGCTCGAATTAACAAGTCAAAAGTGACCTCGCTCAAATTGGCAAAACAAAATTCGACCCTGCTCGGGTTAACAAAGTCAAGTTCAAATTAGCAGGTCGAATTCGATCCCACTCAAATCAACTACCAAAAGTCAGGGACTCATTGTGAGAAAATCCAAGAAATTCGAAAAGTAAAAGAGAAGGGAAAGCCAAAAACATACAAAGGACGACGAGCCGACTATTTCATTCAAAGAAAAGATAAATATCTTACAAAGGGCCAAAAAAGGGGGCCCCCATCCAGCCAACCAAGTACAAGAAAAAAAAACTAAACTGAGTACAAAAGGACAAATTAAATACACAAAGGTTTCACTCAGCATCATCACTATCCACGCCACCACCTCCTTTCACGCTTGGTCCGGCCGCTTCGTCTCCACCATCGCCCCCTTCAACATCGTCATCATCGGAAGCAAGCTCGTCCTCGACCTCAGCGTCTCCGCCAGCCTCCGGTGTCTCAGGGTCATAACCGCAGGCAAGATGAGCCTCGCGTGCTTAACCCGAGCATCTTCGAAAACGGCCTCAAGAACGCTCCCTGCCGCCCACAAACCCTTGTATATATCTCGTTGGGCCTCAGCATGGACCCATATCTTGTACAAATGGCGGGGGGCAACAACAGAAGAAGATTCTTGAGGGGGGGGGCTAAACCAACAGCTGCGCCTTCTCGGCCTCGAGAGCCACAACTTGGTCTCCCAGGTTCGTGGCATCCCGCTCGAGCTCACCGATCCACTCCTCAAGCCTTGCCTCCCTTAGTGTGGCCGTCGCCCTTTCGGCTTCCCGTTTAGACCTGAGGATTCGGATAGTGTGTTCTAGCGCCGCTACCCTCGCCAAAGCCTCCACTCGTGCTCCCTCGGCCCTCTCCAACTCGGCCACATTCCTTTCTAGCTCAGCCACCTTCTTCGTCCACTCTGCACTTAGATTGGAAACTCTAGTGGCATTCTGCTCAAGCTCGGCTCGCAAAGACAGTACCTTCGCCTGAAGATTCTCGCATTCCTCCGCAACCCTTTTGCCTAACTCGAGCTCCTCGTCTTTGACCCTAAGCAGCCCCTCGAGCTCGCTACATATGCGGATAGACCGCATCATATCCTCATCCCTCTTCTCCAACTCCTCCCTGAGAGATTGAGTATTACCGCCCGCCCTAAGCTGCGCGTGCATCTCACGGAACTTATCGCGATACCGGCGATACTTCACGGCCATTTTCAGAAAGACATCGGCCCGCGTCTTAGCCCAATGAGCACTCTCGATCTCCAGCATGTAAGTCTACAAAAAAAAATGAGAGGAAGGATCAGCGAAAGCAAATGGCACAAAACAACGAAAATAGCAAAGGGAAACTCACCCTCAAGGCCATCCTAGACACACCGCATGACAAACCGAAATCACTAATCTCCCAAAGAGACCTGCTCTCGGCGGCGGAACACA